CATCATGCAACGCATAGAGGCGCACGACATGACTGCGCATATGCATGTGACGGGACAGACCCACAGAGAGACGGGCGGTCAGACAGACAGATTAGTGAGCTCTGTAGTATTAAAGTTTTACCCCCCTCTAATCCTCACACACTCGCTCATGCAGCGCGCGCACACATACACACACACACAAATACTTACGAACGCACTCTCTCTCAGTGGGGTACACCCTGTGAGAGGGGCAGGCAGCGCGAGATAAACTGATCACGCAGCAGTACAATATGCTAAAAGTGATTATGTGTGAGTGTGTGTCTGTGTGTGTGTGTGTGTGTGTGTGTGTGTGTGTTTGCCGAAGATAGTGAGCTAAAGAGGAATGATGATGTGCAACAGCAGTCAGGGAAGCAGATATTAAGTCACAGTGGAGTCGATGGTGGGGAGAAAATGAAGATATTTGACAGAATAAAAGCAACATCTGGGAGGCATCCAAACTCAAAATGTATGTGTGTGTGTTTTCATTCTCGTATGTTTAATAAAAGTGAGGGTTTGACACCTGAATCGAGGTTTTCTGGCTTTATAAGATCACAGAAAACATCGAAATGGACTCCCTGAGTTTGTAGAAAATGACAAAGGCAGCTTGAGCCAAGTAACAAGATGAAAGATATGCTTCAAAATTGAAACCACGGGTATATCCCACATGCTGCATCTGATACCAGGTGACTTCACTGCTGGTGAATGTAAAGATCACCGCCTTGGGCATTGTTGCTCTTTTCAAAGCACGCTGCTCCTAAATATTTGCACATATTTATGTTGTTGTTTAGTCAGTGCGTTTGTTTCAAGATTATGTCTACCTTTAGGGCATTGCGGCTTTATTGCGGCTGTAATAAAAACAATAAAGTTTATTTGTGTAACACTTATGTCCAAAAAAAATTACAACAGACTTGGCATAAACAAAGAAATAACGAAAACAAATTAGGCCTACAGGTATGATCAACATCCATAAAACACATTCAATTCTAGAATAGTGCAAAACTAACAACAAAGTCACTGAGTTGTTTTTTGTTTAGCATAACTTGTTTTTCACATTTAAATGTTATTGTATTGCAGTTAATAATCCCAGTAGAAGATAGCTAGCTAACTTGTTAGCTGCTAGCTGTTTGTTGCTCTGTTAGTTGACATTGAGCAAGGATTCTCCTCTGCAGTTACTCCTAATTAGTTTTCTTTACACATTCCCTAATGTTTTATCTGACATATAGGTGGTATAACTGACTGCTAAGCTGTTGTTAAACGTTTGTGTCGACTCCTTTTTGCTGCTTCATCTCTGGAGCGCTGCCCTGTGGCTAAGCTAATTAGCTGCTAAATGGCTAAACACAATGCTAGCCCGCTTTCTATCTTATTTGTAAACCTTTTTGTGGAAAGTATACAACTTACAACTAGCAACTTACAGGCTGTACATAAGTACAATTTTGAGTTTTCTTACTTTTATAATGTGCTGCTTTTCATTGTTTCTTCATGAGGACATTTCAGAGACAAACATGCAATTGTAAAGTCTTATTATTTGATGGCTACTGGTTGCTAATGAGGCAAAAGACTAAAAATGTGGATTAATATGTTGATTTTATTTATTTATGTTACCAATATTATGAAGATCCTGACTGATTAGGCTTACTAATACCATATGAAGTCATTCAAATCAGTTCCAGTGCCAATATTTACAAAAGTTAAAGGCTGCACATGAAGGCATCACTAACAATAAAAAGCACAGGTGTAAATAGTACAGCTAATGATGCCTCGGTTGGCTTCAGCTGCTTTGTACCTCCTGTGTGTGCTCATTGTCACCTTTTTACAATGTTGTTTGTTTTGTGCGGCACACCTGTACTATTACGACAATAATAAGCCATAATGTCTGGTGTGAGCGAGGCCTAAAAGCACGTATTCTGTTTTTTATTTAAGTACATTTAGTTAAAAACAGTCCTGTTACGTAAAGCTGCATAGTTATCATGTGAAGTGGTATTTTGATATAGCTTAGCCTAGAGTGATTCTTTCAAAGTGAATGTAGCAACATTGCTTGTCATGGACTAATTTTAAATGTGGTATTGCCACATTTATGTAAGTGAAGGATCTGAATACAGGACTTATTTCATGACTGCACTGAAGATGCAGTGTGTGGGTGTGGTGGTGTAAGAGCTGTTGGATAAGTAACAGAAAGTAAAGCAGGCAATGAATTAATTTAGTCTAACTTTTAATTCAGTAGTTAGTAGAGGGCGAGTGAATGCATTATTCAAGTAACTCAGTAGATGCTGTATTGCCAGAGCAAATTTTCTCATGTTTTATAGTGAAAAAAACAAGTGATGGAGAGAGGAAGTTTAAGTTGGACTCGTAGTTTAATCGTAGCAACTGGACTTGCTTGAGTTTCTTGAAGACGTTTCACGAGGTTGGATGAGAGGTGAAATGTCTTCAAGAAACTCAAGCAGGTCCAGTTGCTACGAATAAACAACGAGCATAACCATGACCTGGATGACTGAGAAGTTTAAGTTAGATGTCACCGTTCGCACTGTTAAAACATACTGTGATGTGAGCTACATACTTGTGTCTGTATTTCTTGATTAAATCAGTCTTGACTTTTGGAATGATACATGTCAAACTCGTCACATGATGCCCCTTGGTGCCACATTTGATCACACTGGGTGATTTTTATCAACACACAAGATAGTCTGATAGATACATAACATACATAAACATAAGAAATAAACACCATAAATCTGTAGCCATGTGTTCTTTGCTGGTAACTTTAACTGCTTTTCAAGTAAAGAGAAGTTTCTAACATAAGGTAAATGTTGTGAAAGGCTATATTTTAACCCAACCTATATTTTTTTTTCCTAAACCTCAATCAAGTAGTTTTGGTATTTAAACTTAACCACGTACTTTTGGCGCCTACATTAACCAAACAGCAATGAATGGGACACGTGGGAGAAAATCTGATTATTTACACCTCATCCAACCTCTTTATGCGGTAGTTTTAAACTCTGATGCAGATGGCTTTGACAAAATGGGCAGTGTTGACACCGTTGGAAAGAGAACAGTTGGCATTGGTCATCTTGATGTGATTGTGTGAAGTCATGTGAATGCAACTGCCTCTGGGATGTATTTATGTACATGTGATACAGCACAATAACAACTCTAATGTAGTCCTGAGGCCTTCACCCAGTGTGAAACATGAAACACTGAAGTGAGAGGAATGGGATGCAGCACGTACTGTAAATTCCCTGTAATTGTACAAAGCATACAGAATAAGTCTACTTCGTCGAACCCCTACACATCAGTTTCCCACATTCTCCTCTGTTTATCTCCTTGCCTCTGTTGTAACAGCTCAGGATGGATAACTGGGGCTCTTTTAAAGTTCTGAATTCAATTTTCACTTCATTAGATTTGTGAATTCGACAGTGGGATTTACACTTGGTGAAATGCAAATTAGTTTGAATTCAGCACAAGTTAGGTAGGGTAGTTACATAACTCTGTGTGCTTTGATTGCTGCTACCAAGATTAAGGTTTTTATTTCAACTGTGGGCATTTTGTGCAAGAGAATATTGATTCATGGCACTGTTTCATCCAGCTTGTGGTTTGCTATCGAATTTGAAGATAAATACTTTACAAAAACATGAACATAAGTGAATCTATGCTGCACAATTAGAATAGAATAGAATAGAATAGAATAGAATAGAATAGAATAGAATAGAACTTTATTGATCCCCTTGGTGGAAACCTCAGGGAAATTGGTGCACCAGCAACACCAACACCAGCAACAATAGTAACAATAATAATAACAACAATGACAATAACAACAATGATGGACACAGCAACAAAATTATGTCTTTCAAGCAAAAGTAATGATTTTGAGTTTATTTTTACTGTCAAAAACGAACTCTGTTCAGCTGGTGTTGTTGAAAGGGTTTGACATCTCCACTAGGTCGCACTTCTTGCAATGCAGTGCTGTTCCTCTCCTCCCTAAGCAAAATGTGTACTTTCATGATTAGCTTTTGTGTTTATAATACTTGTTGACATAAAGCAACACAAAAATGCGTGGTTTTAAGTCATGTGACGTAATCTGGCGCTGGGTGAGAACATTTGTTGAATCCCTCTTCAGATGTCAAAGGGAAGGAGGGCTGAGAGGATATTATAACTGCCTTTAATCTAGCTAAGCATACAATATGGATAATCCGCTCTCTCTTACTTTTACTCAGTCTTATTCCTACAGTTTTAATGGGTGAAACTATGTAATCTCACAGAGATTATTGTAATTCTGCCTCTCATTCCTCTCAGACATTCTTTTTGTCTTTAATTCCGCTAAATTCTCGTCTGAGTCTTGTAATGTCCTGTCAGATCTGAACGCACTCGTATATGCATTTAACCCCACAGAGCAAATACGTCGTCTTTGACTCTGGGTGGGGGGCTGTCATTCTAACTTTGCTGGTTCTTTACTACGACACTGCAGGAATTCTTTCCTTCTCAAGTACATTTTCCAAGAAGAGATTTGTAACCTCTTGACTGCAGGGCACTGAGTCTGTCAGATGGGAGCACCAGTGCCAGATTTGGTGGCTTATGATGAAATTAAGAGAGACTTACATGAGATAAAGTGCAACAATGTTTGATGTTGTGCACAGTGAAAACTCAGACCATAGACAGATGGTCGAGAACCAAACATGGTTATCTCTGTTGTGCCTGTCCGACACGTATTTGGGATTGGTCTATTCTGCAAGACGAGACTTCAGTAGCCAACAAAAATACTTAAAATCAGTTACTGATAGCAGTTCAGAGCCCCTTGTAGTCTCTAGACCAAACAAAGAAACTGAAAGCATCGCCTTCAAGGAACCATGTGTGATGAATTAAACCAACAAGTGAATGAGTTGCTCACTGAGTGGGGGGATCTCTGTGCTTACTGATAAATTAATCTGTGTGGTTTGCTAACTTCCTGTCTCTCCTCTCTCCCTGTCCCTTCCTATTTCTGTCCACTCCAGGCTCCGACTACTCTCCCCCACCGCCTCCCCCTCTTCCTCGCGCTCCCATCCCTGCCCTGACCAACGAGCACAGCGGCAGCGGTAGCCATGGTGACCATGGCGGAGGAGGGGGCGGGGTCAACCACGGCGTGGGCGTGGTTGGCCTGGCTCCGGAGCACATCCCCACGCCGGGGGCAGCCCTGAGCTGGCAGGCGGCCATCGACGCCGCGCGGCAGGCGAAGATGATGGGCAACGCCGCATCGGGCGGAGGCGCGGGGCTCGGTTCGGGAGGGGGCGGGCCCATCTCTACGGCCAGCTCTACGCAAAGGAAGAGACAACACTACAGCTCCAAACCCAAGAAACAGACCACGACGACAGCCACAAGGCCGCCACGGGCCCTGCTCTGTCTCACACTCAAGAACCCCATCCGCAGGGCCTGCATCAGCATCGTGGAGTGGAAGTATCCTTTACCTGACCGTGACTGGAGGATTGTCTTAACACTGTGCACTGCTTTCTCTAATGGTTATAAAATGCCCTTAAAAAAAAAAAAAAACTGTTAAAGTCAAACAGCTCACACTCTGAATTGATTCTGTTTAGTAGCTTGAAGGAAACCAGTTCAAAAGAGTCTGAGTTCTCCATGTCAAATTTTTTGCTTGAGTTTGTGCTCATTTGGAACTAACAAGGCATAGTGTTCAAATTGGATGTATCAGGAAGTCAATTTTATTACTGGAAAACAACAAGTTCTTTCACATCTCACTGGGTCACTATCAGATTTATTTGCCAAATATTTCCCTCCCAAATTAGCCTGTTTATCTAGGAAATATCAAAAAGTGACCCCTTACTAATTACAGGAGGCCATGACGATCTTCAGTTTGTTTTCCTTCACCAACAGATCACAACTGAAGGCTAAACAGTAAAACTCCTTAAATTAGTGAGGCTGGAACCGGATTATGTAACTGTTCTGCTTGAAAAGCTATGAATCGAATAATATTTAAAGTAGAGTAAGATAAACTTTTTCCAATCTAATGATCAACTGGTAGAGTCAGTTTTAACAATCTTTTAAATCAAGAAAGAGTAGAGGAGGAAATACACAAAGGCCGACTGCAGGGGTTACCGTTAAATACAAGTCTGGTATAAAGTTAGAAAGCGTATACAGTCGTGTAATATTGAAATTGGATAATTTTAAGATCCATTTTGAGGAAAATTTTAGTATTTTTCCATTAAGAGAGCATCCTAAACCTACACCCAGAGTATTCTTGTCTGAGTAGATCTTACAGATAAAGTGTAATGTTGCCTTTGGCACGTTTCATCCCTCAGTTTTTAGACCTTGGGATGAATGGGTTAATAAAAACAAAGAAGTATGAGCTGGGGTAAAAACTGATCAGTGGATTTATAATCGATGGGGGGATGCAGGTAGAAGAAGGGATTAGATAGAGGATTTGCAGCTTTGTTGTTAACACCAACATGTGTGTAGATCTGTTTGGGAACCAATCAATCAATAATAAATAAATTTGCACAAAAGCCTCTTAAAATCATAATACAATGCCAGTTGTATGTTTTGCTATACACTTTTGAGCACTGTTTTTAGCCTATATTTGATCACATTGAGCCATTAAAAGTATGCCAAATCATCTCAGAGCTACTGGGCAAATGAAGAAAAGTTGAAAAATTCTAAAGCTTTTTTTCCCCCCTCTGATTTCTAAGTTGATTTTTATAATGGACTGTTAGAGTTTTTTTCTGTTGAACGTCCATGTTACATACCGTATCCTGTAATTTCCCAAAGTTTAAAAACCCATCCAGAACGACAAGTTAAACTGCCGTGGACCACAAGGAATATTTTATCCCCCCACCTCCCCCCGGTAATGTTAATCCCCTCCGTATGGGGCTTTAATCAATCTCTCTTCTGTCCTCTAGCTCTCAATAAGTGTGATTTTCCCCTCTCCACTCAGTCGTCTTAATCCCTTCTCCCCTTCCTCTGTCTGCCCTTCTCCGTCTTTCTTTTTCTGCTCTCCTCTTTCATTTACATTCTCCCGTTTTCTCACAGGAGGATAAAGCAAATTGTGTCATTTTCGTCTCTCCTTCACACCTCTTCCCAGCATATCTTTCTCCCCTGGCTTCTTCTAACTGCATTCATCCTCTCTCCCCCAGGTCCATCCACGCCTCTGTTCCTTCCTCGCTCCCTCTGTTCTCCACCCAGGAGTCGCTCACAACATTTATTATCCGTCTCTCCTTCTGTCCGTCCAAATCTCTCACCCGTCCGCTGTTCTTTTCCAACCCCTCGTCTGCTCTTTTGTTTTATTTTTACACTCCCGAACATAATGAGTTGCTTCTCCCTCAGGGTGAGGTAGAAAAAGAGAAAGACAAGAATGGTCAGTGTCACAGTCAAAGTGATCAATAATAAGTTCACGTGAGCGTCGACTCAGCGAGAGCACAGTCGTCCTGAGAGGGACGGAGGGAGAGAAAGAGGTGGGGTTGGGGAAATGAGAAGGGCTGGGATGTGGGCAGGACATGGACGTCGACAGGAGAGATAATGGAGTGCGGTGGTTGAGGAAGGAGGGATTGACGGGAGGATGGGAAAGGTAAACAAGAAGAATTAGCAACAGGGGCAGGGCGAATCATCAGCGAGTGGAGGGAAGGAGGTGTGGGTGGAGAGAGTAGAGGGATCATCAGGGAGGAAAGAAGGCAGAGTGAATTGCCGAGAAAAGAGACGATGAGTTAGAAGTGTTTGCGCGTGTTTGAAGAGGATTGCATTAGAGAATTATCAAATTACAATCAATCAGCGTCTGTAACCTTGTAAGCTCTAATGGACAAAAGTGCCACTGAAAAACTCTGTTTGTTATAATCGTTCGCCGCACATATCCGCCGGCATTCATACTCTGAGCCGCAGGAGTAATCCTCAACTACACATGTCACAATAAAACCAAATATCAAAACATATTAAGACTTTTTTTTTTTTCAGAAAATAAGTTCTAATTGCACTTTTTAAGGAATTACATTACATGTCACATTTTAACAGTTAATAGGATAGATTGAAAAGATTTTTTTTTTTTTTTTGCGATTGGATTTCTGCTTATTGTTCATTCTGGCATTTTAGTCTCACAGCAGGAGCAGCAATTATGTCTGACAAGAAAGTTATATTAAATACCCAGTGATAAATGATGGTATAATTCTTTGTGAAATTCTATTCTTTTAAACCTGTATATTTATCAAACAATTATAGCATTACTACTTGCGATAGTTTATTGTGAAAATCCAGGCTCTTGAAAACCACCATGGCTTGCATTTATCTTGTATATCGCTCGCACAATAGACAAGTTATTCTAAAAATAACAGAAACACATCCCATGGGATCAACTGTGTATTTTAAGTACGAGTCTAATCTCTCAGTGCTGTGAAACAGTGAACATGGACAATCTTCCTGCTGGTCATCCTGTGTATTTACAATTCAGTCGTCGACATGTCAGCAGCCCCCCCTTTAAACTGTGCCGAGGCTGAAAAATAAAACTAAAATTAATATGAAAAAAAAGGATGCATAAACCCTCAGGGTCACTGGAGCAATCTCAGCCAATGACGGATGAGTGTTCAGATCATTACCCACAATTCCTGGAATCATTCATTTAAACAGCTCTAAAGGCTGGGAAGGAGGAGAGAGTGATGGAGATAGGAATAAGATGAGTGAAAGAAGGAAAGGGGGGGGCATTATAGTAGGTTCTTCTGGAAAATGGTGCAAGAGAAACAGAAAAGAGAAGCATCTGCAGCATAGGGAAACAGAAAAAGCACAGTAATCTTTCTAACACAATGGAATGTTCTTCTTAACTGCATGGTGGACATGTGTTAGAACATTAGTCTGAACCTGACGACACTCTGTATGTATGTACCCTTGTAAGCGTGTAGATATGGATGTTTTGTTTGTATTTTCTAGGCTTTATATATGTGTGTGTACGCCCGTGTGTGTGCGCGTCCTCTGTTCTGTGAGTACCTCTGTCTCCAGAGATAGCAGATCCGAAATCTTCCTCTTTTCCTCCTCTGTTACCATGACAACAGCTACTGCTCTCAACAGGTCGATGGGGCCTGTCTGAGCTCACACAAACACACACACACACAGTCAGATTAGAGAACACACATCAACGCACCCGGAACAACGACACACGCACGCTTACATGCATATGATAAAGGACGGAAACCCACCAGCACACTCTCACATGCTGCGTAATTATAGCATTTAGATATTACCTGCACGCCGCAAGGTCAGTGTGAGAGACAAGGAGAGAGCCGGGGCACGTTTACGCCTAACTACCATGTTCTCTATATGAAATCACGCTAAGTGGCGGTTTTTCGAAAGGTGTCACCAAGTGCATTTATAAGTATACACACACGTCTTCCTGTCTAGCAGCTCATACTGTATACAATGCATCAGGTCACATGAGTGATTGCGCTATTTGTGCGTTTTTTCAGCTCAATCAGGACAACAGATAAATATTCTCGTGTTGAGCCCACTCTCCCAGATAATATCCCAGGATTCTTATTGGGGTTTGTCAAGATAAGAGATAATCTGTGTTATTGTGAGCTGCATGTGGTGTGTGTATATGAGCCAACTGCTGCTGTTAAAATGCAGAATATATATGTTAAAGTCCATAATTCCTCAGACTGTAGCAGCTTAGTGAATATTTAACTCTATAACCTTCTGAGCCACCTTGATGCTGATTTTAATTTAATTTGTTTATTGTTGATTTTTACACTGTCACAGTTGACCCCTCCAATTAGCTCAGAGCAAAATCCTAATTTTCTTTCCTTCTATGCTGTTAAACACCATTATTGCTGATCGATGTACATTATCAGTAGATGTGGTCGGATTCTTTGCTCTAAACTCCAGAATTTCTTCCAAGTTGTGTCTCGCTCTCAACAGCACAGCAGACAGTAGATTTATTATCATGTTGATGGAAGCAAACCTCAAGGGTTTTTTTTCAAATTACGGGTCAGGAACCCAGAATGAGTCACAGGCCTGTTTTTCAGTGCGTCCCCACATGTCTGAAGTGAGTTTAATGAGTCCTTGGTACAAGGGTGAGTGATTAACTTTGATGCAGTTTGGTCCCGGGCTGAATGAGCCGAACGGTCTTGTGGCAGCTTGTGACTGTGGATGGTGATCAAGGGTCAATTTTTAATCCAAACATAAACAAAATATTAGTGCCGCTATCTAAAAAAAAGATTTTTTTTTCTCCCTCTTGCTCATTCTCTGCCTATAAAGGTTTACCTAAAATTGTTAAGCTTTGTGTAGTGGGGCCACACACAACACGTTTGCTAGTATGATTCTAGATGGGTTCACTTTTTCTTTACGAAACTTAATTATTTCTTTGTCATTACTTTACCGCTCTTTTGTCACTCAAAGCTGTCAGGAGCCATATTGAGTAATCTCTGCATTTATCAGAAACTCATTTCGCGATTACAAGACCGTAAATCAAAGAGCGTTCAAGGCCTTGTGGTGAGGTTTGGGAGTTGAAAACAAAACATGTTGTTCATTTATTTTTCACATCTGTTTTTCAGATCCACCAGACTTCCAGTGTATTTATAAATGTCACGATGATGAACATCTATAGCTGGGAGTTGGACTCTGCTGAGAAGTTTATGATCTGTAACCGTTGAATGAATGTAAATACATTTCATTTGTAGAGGACAGTTAATTATAGCCAACTAAAAGGATTCAGGCTTTTGGGGAATCTTGGCGATATACACTTCCACGCATTAGTGGCTGTGTATTTTACTGCAGTGGGAAAACACTACCTCCAGACAATCGGACACTGGTGTACACATATAGCAATCTATTACCTCTGATGGTTTTATCAAAGTTGCATTATCAATGTATGGTAATGCAGTTTAAGAAACAGATTGAAAACCTGGACAGTGTGTAGACCACCATGTGCCTCATCCACAATACATGACCACCTGTTTTTTTTCTTGTTAGTGACACTCTTTTGAAGTTTCACCCACTTGTTCTAGCAGCGCCTTCAGAAATGCCACTTCCAAGTCCAGCAAAGTCAGATTCAATGAAGCAAATAATTAAACCCTGTTCTCAAGAAGAAGAAAAAAAAAACCTGCATTCATGGTGCGATGCAATGTGTTGAACATTAATGTCAGCTTCAATGTACATGACTTAGATTACGGTTCTTGTGGGTCTGGGGTTCTGACAGCGCAGCTCATCAGGCTGCTCGTGTAAAGGTATAGGCTAATCTGATAAGAGAGAGAGGACGACAAGAGGAGGAACAAGTAAGGAAGGAAGGAGAGCAGAGAGAGGTGGAGGGAGGTGACAGCAGTGGCAGTTTGCAATTGTGTTGATGAAAACCAGACCTCCTCTATCTCTCCTTCACATTCTCTCCCTTTCTCTCCATCCTCTCTCTCTCTCTCGGAGGCCCAAAATAATGAGGTCACTCCCCTCTCAAGGACCGTTCCAAATAAAAACCTTCTGTGTCCCTCTCTCCTCTCTCTCTCCCTCTCTCTCATACCATCTCCCTCCGTCCACATCCCGTCTTCCACGCGACAGGCCTGCTCCTCGCCGCGCCCATATTAGGACATGCGCTGTCTCTCCGGCCTTCCCCCCCGGCTCGTACAAAAAGGTTCCTACGTTAGCCGACGTGTCTTATTGTTAACCAAAAGGCAAACTCCACAGCTTTGATCTCCCTCCTTGTGTAAACTGCCTGTGCACTCTGCTATGTGTATATATACCTCTGCTTATGTAAGGATGTATTAGCTTGTTTAAAAATACCTCTTTGTTGAAATACCGCGCCTGATATGAATACGTTTTCTATTCGGGAAGGTCATAAGCCTTTTTTTTTTTTTTTTTTGCTTTTATGGATCGTTTAGGACCTACATGAACCTGACGTGTATTGACTTATATTTTAAAAGAGCCAACACCAGTTTCAGTAAAGTTTCAGACACAATTAAACTCAGTGTTATTTTGACCCTTCCTCTGTGAAATGTCATTTAAGGTAAATGGTCTGCTGTCGTGACTCGGTCTGCCTGCTACGAGCCAGCGATGATCAGGCAGCGTCGTCACAACAGAACCGAAAGAACGATCCTTATCTAAGTACTTCGGGTCCTCAAAAAAGTTATATGAGCAAGAAAAAAACCTTGAAACAGTCTTCAGAGTCTGATGTGAATAATGTTTATTCGATACAGAGGCTGTAAGAACAAACTGGAGACTTGGCTAGCTAGTGATGCATTACATGTCCTTATACGTTTGTGAACTTCGCCCAACTCCCCTCCTACCCTGGAAAAAACCCAACCTGTTGGTTTTTTTGGACACCCATCACATTATTTCTTTATGCTTAACTTTTACACATCACATATTACAATTTCATTTAGCTTTTATCCAAAGTGACGTACATCTGATAGTAGATCACATTCATACACCGATGCAATGCAAGCTGCTGCCTGCCATTGGGAGCAACTTCAGGTTCAGTGTCTTGCCCAGTGACACTTGGGTGGGGGATCAAATCACCGACTTTGCAATTAGAGGACAACCTGCTCTACCAGCTGAGCCACAGGCGCCATTCTCATTGCACGCTTACTTGGACTTCCTAATCATATCTCTAGGTTTGTCTTTTATTTAACTCTAAAATATCAGTTGTGTCTTTTGTTCAATGCTAGAAATCCCTCAACACTGTGCTGCATAAATGTCTCTATACTTGTGTACTCGACTCTTCCTTAACCGTCCGCTCAGACCATTTGAGATCATCATCCTGATGACCATTTTCGCCAACTGCGTGGCCTTAGCTGTCTACATCCCCTTCCCTGAGGATGACTCGAATGCCACCAACTCCAACCTGGTGAGTAGCGCACAAGATTTCAACTGCTTTACAGCTGAATAGACTCACTTTGGTGTATTTGTTATTGGCAAGCTCGAGTTTTCTTGGTTGTCGTTGCTGTGCGGTGACACCTGACTCTCCTTTGTAGACGCCAGTATTATCTTGACTCGTGTGTTATGAGGGAGAAGCATTTCGTCAGCAGAATTTTTTCTGTTTGCGTTTGTTGCATGTCATTTACTCATTTCCAGCTGATTCCACTCAGTGTGATTTACTGGCAGCGTGTCTCTATAAAGCTTTGACAGTTTCATGAAGGTAAAATATAAGAACGGCGGAATGAAAAAAAGCGCAAGGGAAGTAAATAGACATGGGAGCAGAAGCGAGCGAGGAAAAAATAAAGAAGTGGGGCTGAAAAAAAGCATGTTCCTCTCTTTGAATGATACCATTTTTGAGCATTATTTACTTGATTGCTCATACAGCAGTGTTGTTGATTATAATGTTCGACTTTGAAGCCTGAAGAAAATGGAGAATTTCAGTTAATTTGAATGCGGGCTCTTGAGTAGTACCAAATAAAGCCTTGTGAGATGATTTGATCAAAGGAAATCTGTCTCTTTTGTGGGCAAAATAAAAATTTTGGCAAAGGAGAAAATAATAGTTTAGACTGAGTAACTGTGGGCTGTTTTTTGGTAGAGTGGCATGACTTGTTTTTATCTGGTGATTTTGTAGTTCCCCCAGATGTGTAGCGTACCATGTGTGTTCCAGATTACCCATGTTATCCCAGCATGATGCGATGTTTTCAAAGAACTTCTTTTTTTTTCAGTTTTCATGTTCCCCCTATAAATGTTTTACGAAGCTGAGGTCACATGACTGTTGTGTAGGATTCATGGCAGTCAACACTTCTTGGTCGTCTCGTTTCAAACCTTTGTAATGTTTGGGGTCATTAATTTGCTGCAATATAAAAATCTCTCCAAAGTAAAGGGTGAAGCATGACTGAATGCTTGTTGCAGGTGTCCAAGTGTGGTCTATATAATGATTGTTCCCATCAGCATGCTCCACTGTGGGTTTGCTACTCTCTCTCCTGTTCACCTCCTCACATACACACCTCTGTTACCGCCATCAATCTCTAACTTGGATTCATCAGTAAATGGGACTTTCTCCAGTCTGTGACCGCTCAGAGACTGTGAGTCATCCTCTGAGGCCACTACTAGACATCCTGCTTTTGACAGTACTTTTCCTGATTAGACTCTCGCCTTCTTTATTTAGCAAATTCTCCTATCTGGGATGAAGTTACTTTTCCATTTTTCAGCCACAGAAAGCTTAATGTATTGATCTTCTGATTACGTGGTCAATTTTGGTCTCCCTGATCGTGCTTCGGATGCAACCGATCCAGTTTCCGCACAGCATTAAGAGTTCCATGCGCTGCCCTCTTGGAAACTTCAGTCTGTGATTCGATGCTGAGAAAGACCCTCTTTGCTCAGAATAACAATCCCGCTTCTTGACTCTTTCGCTTAGTTCTGATGCCGTGTTTTCCACCATCGCAGTGCTACTTAGTAAGCAATGTTCTGCTGGAAACTTGAGGCACAGACATATTTATGAGAGTGAACAAAGGCTGCACTTACTTGAACAAGCAGCTGATGCGCAGATCAAATCCGCCCGAGTGTCATCTGAATGCGTGCTTTAACTGGAGGGATGCAATCAGGGAAATCTGACCTTTTGTACGAAGGAGTCGAGACGGACAAAGCCACAAATTTTTTAAAAATTGACATAGATATAGTGCAAAACATTTCTTTATTCTACTTTTTTTTGTTTTTTAAATAAAAAAAACAAAACATCTCTCTCAGACTTTTGTACTTTGCTGTATACATGAATCACATGTGTTATATACTTTATGTGTGTGTGTAAGCGTGTGTGTGTGTGTGTCAGCATGCAGATGTATGACGGTGTATTAGTGGTATTAGTGAGAGGAGGACGTTAATCCCTCTCAGGCCTGGGAACATCTGGCAATGTGTCTCCGACTCTTTCTTTCTTTCTTTCTTTCTTTCTAAGGATACCATGTTTACTAAATCTTGAGAGCTCATTCCAGACACATTTACATGTCAACACGCCCATCTTGCAGATTTAGAGAATTTATTGGTATTAGAGTTTAACTGTCACATATTCTGAGTAGGAAAACGTTCCAAAGATCCAGCTGTCACATTACAAGCTGGGACATCGTCTTTTCTTGACCTTGTCTATTCACAAAGTTGCGTCGGGGCTTACGACACACCTGCGAGTAGAGAAATAACATTTGTTTTCGTTTGTTTTGCTGTGTATCTACCCTCTGATTTCTCACGTAATGATACAGTGTCAGAGCAGGTATATGAGTCAGTAGAAGAGTAAATACGACTGAAGGAGGACAGCTGTTTTCATCTTCTCAATCTGTGTCCATCACCCACTCTCTCTGCCTGTCTTTATCGCTCTCTGAATCCTGCAGGAGGCATACCTGCATTTCTTACACTACTTGACTTAGAACATTGTCTTTACTCTGCATTGCTGTTATCTTTCTGTTTAACACGTCTACTCTTATGTATTCCTTCAAGCTTTCTTTTAGTTTCAATTCTTTGAAAAGATTCCACTTAAAATCTCCGGCTTTTGATCACATCACAATGTGGGCATTAACCGTGAGAATCAAATACATCAATAAATGAGTAAGTAAATTAAATCCTACTTGAACTGCACCTTCGGATGCACCTTGAAAGCTTTAACTTCCACAATAAGACAGCAGATTAGGAGCAGGAAGCGCTGATTGTTTAAAGCTAATATAATTAATATTTTATGCAAATAATCATTTTCTCATTCAGCATAGGAAGGGATACATTTAGGGATGTATTTATGTTTTCCTGTTTGGAAATCCCCCACTCACACACACACACACACACACACACACACTTACGCATATTTAGATATGGTTACATCAAATATTAGGCCCCCTATTTTCATGTGTAATATTTTGGCAGGGCGACCCCTCCCACCCTCCAAGTTAACGAACAGATACTACACACACACATGCACACAAACACACACAACCTTCTCCCCACCACCACAGCTGTGGTCAATTAGTTTTATAACCTTCTGACAGACAGGAAGCCGAGTGCAGATGGACCAGAGTCTTAAATATATGGTTGAGCCATGTATCTGTCTTTGTTTGTGTGTCTGTGTGTGTGGTACTGACAAGTAGAAAAGTCAAGAAAACTGTTGCACTGTTTCAATAGTCGTCAAATGTGTTATCCCACAAAACTTAGAATAGACTCCCGAATAAATAATTACAAAGTTCAAAAACAGACATGTAGGCATGTGTTGCAATATTAATTATTACCAGAGCATGATGGTGTCCATAAACACTACATTTTTGAGATTTTAGCTCAATTTTGTGAGCAATATGCTTTATACCTGGACTGGAACAGTTCTTAGATGGGGTAGGTTCCACTGCAACATTTAATTTTATCATGAAATACTTTTGCAGCCTCATGTTGTTTCCATCTCATTGAAAGTTATTGATGTCTACATATGCATATTTGTGATTTATATTTCTTTATATATGCGTACAGTGTGTGCATCGTTAACTTGTTATGTACCAAACATGAGGAGGAATGAAGACATCAACATTTACAGACAATGTCTTCTGCTGACATTGCCAGAAGTGCATCTTAAGCATGTTTACATTATATTTGCAATATGCATTTACTTTGACAATTGACCTTATTGAGTTCTTTCTTTGTGTCTGCAAGACAGTAATTAAACCCAAGAATGCCAGAATCCATATTACTTCCCATTTGCTAATTTCCCAGAGTGTCTATTGTGACTCTCATAATGTTCACATCTTGGTCATTTGGATGATGGGTTTAGTCCTGAGCTGTTTACTGTTTAGCTTAAGGACACTCGAGCATACCGAATGACTCTTCAGTCACATTTGGGAAGAATGGACCTGTGACCTTACTGTCTTACTGGTGGGAAACTCAGGCTGATCATTTCATTTACACTATGCTAATTTATTCCTTACAGTGTCACCTTTGCATTCCAGTGCCTCCTGTACCTGTAACACAATCTTCTAATTAAATGACGTATAAGTTTTAGCCACAGGAGACTATTCTCTTGTGTTAGTTCACATTTTTGTGTTTTTCTCCCTCTTTGTTATACTTTTGCTATTTATTTTGTTCTTGTCATTTGGGGTGACACATTGGCCTCTTGCGGTTTAGTTTGCTCACCCACACGGCTCCCATTTTAGCAGTTTGCTTAATTGGCAAGCAAATTACTAGCTTGTACAAAGTTTTACTTTGAATAAAGTATAAGTTCAAAACTGCAGCATCATGACCGTGGTTTAGTATCCCCGTGGTGCTCTTTATATTTACCCCGAACTCTACGTGTGATGGAGCCGTAGTTTTAGAATCAATATGGCACCCCCTCGCTAGATTTGTCTTTCTTATGTAATACCAGTGATCTGCTGTATTGCTTCCAGTACAAGATTTCTATTTCTGTCCGCATCCCATAATGTGCTGCTCTGTCTCCTTGACGACATGCCCAATAATAGCAGCGGGAGAGGTTGTCATGGATATGGTAACCGTAGTGATGCTCCTCATCTGTCCTTGGTTACAGAGGAAAAAAGGATGGGAACCAAAGTGTGAGAAAGTCTCTTCTCTCAGGAAGGAAATGCATGCTGCACTTTGGCTGGTTCAGTTCAGCAACAACATTGTTTGCTGTACAATATTTTCTAACTATAATGAGAAGTTCCACTCCTCGTCTTTCTCCTGCTCCCTGTTTTTTCTCTTCAATCACTTTCTCCCTCCTGCTCTCCCTTCATTAGTCCATCTAGCCTGATCAATATGGATACTTTCAGATTGACAGGATAATATCGCCATAACCAAGCAATTAGCTAATCAATATATCTGATTAGGCACTGACTGATGGGGGAGAGTGGCATGAACACATACACTTTAACACACAAATGATGAGCCTTAGTAGTGGTTTAGAATCTGGAATAATGTAAC